GAACGACTTGAAGAGTAGTTTGTATTGAAAATTGAATTTTCTGTGTCTTTCGTCTCCCTTTCACTCGACTTTTGTTATATATCAACAAAAACTATCGCAAAAAACTAAGAAAAAAATCCTTGCGATGCATAAAATGCGATGAAAATCCATAATAATTGCATATTTTTTCCAAAACTCGCAAATAGTTTATGCCATCAAAAAATGAAGAAAAAAAAAGATTTCAGATAAAAACTAATACTAATTAATGGGTTAATAGTTTTTCATTCATTATTATATGAAATCCTAAATAATAAGCGATAAAATTACATTAAATTAACCCAAAAATTTGTAATTAATGCAAATTTAAACTTTTATTCTATAACTTATAGTAAATTACAAATAAATGTATTGTAAAATATCTCTAATATTAATTATAATATCGATCACATGTCAGCCAATGAGCGCACGGGAAGAGCAGCGAAATATTTGGGTAACTTTTTAAACAAAGTATGCAATAAATAAAAGCTTTTATCTATAAATTATATGACAATCGATCGAATAAATGCTAAAATATTAAACTTTATTTTCATATATAAGAAATTACTATTTTTTAATCAAACCGTAAAGAGTGAGAGAGAGAGAGAGAGAGAGAGAGAGAGAGATCCAAATGGATGCCTACCAGTGTTTTAGGAAACCTTACGATAGACTATAAAAAACAACTTTTTTATAACTATCGGATGTAATTGAAGAACACATAGAATATACAGTATATTCGGGACTAATATGTGTATATAATAACGATATCAATAACACATTACATTGAGAGAGAGAGAGAGAGAGAGAGAGAGAGAGAGAGGCGCGGCTCACATCGCATATTGAATTCTCATCACAAGAACTTAGAGCCGAAAAGATTGGATTCAAAACATAATATAAATTTACTGTATATTAAGCTCTGAGAAGAGAAACGAAAGAGAAAAAAGTTTTTTCGTAATACTTAATGCATATTTAGCCAAAAGCCCTACTATTATAATAAGGGGTATGGAGTGAAGGCATAGGAAACTGATTGTCTCTATCGATACCATAATGGAAAGGACTATCAAATCAAACACGGATATTGTGGAGCACTGGCTGTCAAATAAGTTTAATTTAGGTGAGCGCTCACATACACAGCACACAGCTCATCCATACTCTCTCTCTCTCTCTCTCTCTCTCTCGTGTTGTGTGTGTTATGGAGAGACAAAAGTTATGGAAAGTGCAAAAATAATAGCGCCGACGATTGGGAAATATGTCCGCCCAGTGCTTCCTTTAATGCCTTAATGCATGCAAATATTGGGCATTAAATCCATTAACCGATGGCTCGACAAACAAGCAATGGGTCCGTCGTATGGGATGTCTATTTCCAATCATTTGTTCAAAAACTCCTATCATTTCTTATATAAAAGTCTCATTTTCTCATTTCATTACTCTCTCTCTCTCTCCACACAAACCAATGTTTTTTAGAGACGTTATTAAACACATCATTAAAAATGATGAAAAAACATTGTCTCTCATCTAATCTTTTTGTCTAAACAGCGAATGGAGTAAATGAATGTAAGGGAGAGAGAGAGAGAGAGAGAGAGAGAGATTTCCAGGCGCTCAACACAGGACTAACTTCATAGTCATAAACACTGTATATTATTGAATAATAACAAAATTCTTACAGACTTTTCACAATTCAATTTATTTTTGCCAAAAGTTTTAAAACAATATACTTTTGGCCAAAATTTTAGCGTCAAAAGCATAATGTGTGTGTTTTTTGTGCACATTTAGCATAAAATTTTTGCAACCTTTTTGAAACCATTTTTCACTCATTGCAGTCAAAGACATCACATTATATAATATAATTGTGTACTCACTCTCACACCCATTCATTACCATTTTTAGTGTGTCTATACATACAGAATATTCTCTCTCTCTCTCTCTCTCTCTCTCTCTCTCTCTCTCTGCGAATTTTATATTTAATATATCATTATATAAGCCATCAATTCTGTTATAATTATATTTCACATAAAAATATCTATTTTGGATATTCAGAGCAAATGTTGAGACAATAATTTATCTGAAATTCATTTTTTTCTCTTTATTTAATACAAAATAATTCCATAATTTTATGACTGAATGGCAAATAAATTTCACTAAAACTCATTCAATATTATATCTAATATAAGATTAATTTGAATATTAATCGCCGCTTAAAGAATCGTAGATTAGATAATAAAAGTGCCACAAAAATGTCTTCATTATAACAATTAAGGTAAATATAATTAATTAAATAATTATATTAATTACTTTTAACAACGAAACAATTTTTTAAAGTAAAAGTCATTAAAGTTTGCAATTTATAATTTTAACTAAAAGTATAAAAAACTTTTACAATCATTTACAACGACTTCATTATATGTGTGTAAAAAAGTATAACAAATTAGAAATGAGATAAGAATTCAATTTCCAAAATTAAACTCTGATTTCTATATTTCATTGTAAAATATAGTGTAATCTTTGAAAAATTCACACAAAAAAAGTGTCAACGATTTTGTGTCACAAGAAATTTTTGCAATAAATCAAATTCCCATAATATAACCGTTCAAAAAAGTTCTGCTCTCTCTCTCTCTCTCTCTCTCTCTCTCTCTCTCTCTCTCTCAGATTTGTCATCGATGTGTTTGGGCCGTCAGGTATTGGGTGTTGTTATGGGTCTCAACAGAGAAATAGTGTACAAAACACACGGAATATCTCAATGAAATCGATTTAAATCGCGCGACACATAAAAAATAACACGAAAATCAATCAATTAATCAATTTTTTGGTTGTGTTGTAAACGAGTGATCGGATGGATAGGGGATAGGGATGTGTGCGTAAAGGGAGAGGTGATAGTGGATAAGGCATCGGGAAGTGAGACACAAACACACATACGATATAATGAAGCAAATATACTGTTGGAGTCAAATGGTGTGATGGCATCGCACAGCACACCGACGACGACACCCATTCATCATTTAGTTAGCTCTGTGTTGTCAACCGACCTAAAAGTCAACACATCATTTGGATTAACACTAATAAGTCTCTCTCTCTCTCTCTCTCTCCATCGGTGGGCATCTAAAGCGATGCATCACTCAATTGCACACAAATGTGTTTGCATTTTAAATCCACTACTGATTTGTGTCTGTAATTAGTCTCAAATCTATCACTAACTCAAGTGTTATTCAATTAGCGAAAAAATATACGATATTGTCATTTCCTTAACACCCATTAGTGAGAGTGACATTTGGATAGCACTTCACAACCACTGCTATACTAAACACTTAATATACACTATTTGTTAAGTAAATAAAAATTACGATTAAATCATTACTATTATAGTTATTATTAAAACATATTCTCTAATCCAAGTGTCAATAAAAATATAATTTCTATACAAATAACAAATTCATAGCATTTTTTTCGTTATAAAATTCGTAAATAATTATTTGCATTCAATATATAGACAAAACCCACGCTATGATTGATTACAGGCCGTGTGTTTTGACGGAGAAAAAGTTATTAAAACTATTTTTCGTATAAACTTTATTTAAAAGCAATTTTTTATGCAAAACGTATAGCAAAACGATAGATGAAAAAACTTTTTTAATAATGAAAAGCAACGCAAAAATTATTAGAGCGTAAGGATTGGCTCAACACTGAAAATACAGTGAAATACAAATTATTCAACACAACAGCCATAGAGAAAGAAAAATCCTAAAGAAATCAATAAGATTTCAATCGATCAATGAATACAAAACAACGATTGTATGAAAATTGTATTCAAAAGTATGTATAAAAGCCACGAAAAATGCACTTAAAAACAGTGCCACTCATTAACGATATGAAAAGCACAGAATATTCTCGTGTTTGGGACATAAAAAACAACACAAAAACTATTCAAACATTTGTGTTCATAATTCTGTTCATAACTCTTAAGTTAATTAAGATTTTCTACGATATTATTATTATTATCACTAATATTATGAAGTAATAAATTTGATTAATTTCATGCGAGAGCTTATAAATTGCATTAAATATTAACACATTTTTATATACATGTGTGAACACAAACGCTATGTATATTAAAAGCACAAAAAAATATAATATTATCACTTGTTTTATGTATGACTTTAACCAAAAATTCATATGAATTTTTAATCTATAATTATAATCAGTGAACGCGAAGACACGCAAACTATACCCACTGTCCCTATCAATACATTTATGCCGTGTTTTATGTGAGAAATCATAAAACGTGTAAAACAAAAGTGTGAGACATAGAAAATAGCAGTTAATTAAGCGTACAATTATATAATGGCATCCATATATTAAGGAGCTCCCACACTAATACCTAATGCTATGTATTTTACTACATCTCTCTCTCTCTCTCTCTCTCTCTCTCTCTCGTGTAGTCCCTAATAATAGTGAAGCTGTTTGTTATGTAATCCAATCCTTTTGCAAATATTTTTTCAGTCAATGTTTAATAAACCCAACGGAGGAATGGATTCTTATAGATATGTTTATTTAAAGACTATGTTTACAAAAGTATGCCATAAATTTCTAGCGATGAAAAACTTGTTAAATATATATCGCATACAAATTGTTAGAAAATATTTATCTCATAATTAATTTTGTTTGCAATAAAAACGGGTATAAATTACTTGCATTATAACCGGAATTATTATTAATGTTATGTTTAAAAAATTGCTAGTCTTATAAAAATAATATATACACTAAATTATAACCGCATTAATGAGTTGTCAATAAATAATTCAATTGTGATTTTGTTGATAACAACGGTTTAATATATGCTATAATTTTATTTGTTTTAGTGGTTTATATATTGTTGTAATTTTGTTAATTAATTTACAGATGCACTCAAACTGCAGACTAAACACTCCTCTTATATATACTTTCAATTGTATTGTAAAGTATTTGAGGACTTTTTTTTGTTCACTTGACTTTCAGTCGATACTTATTTCAATTTATTTATTATATTAAGGCTTCAAATGTATTATACGTTTTGCTCTCGGGTTTGAGAGAGAGAGAGAGAGAGAGAGAGAGAGAGAGAGAGAGAGATTAACAGTAAAAACTCGTCCAAATTTTTATATTTTATGTTTGATTTTGAGTTGATTTTTCTATACAACTGACACCAGAAAGAAATCAAAAGACGAATTCAATATTATTTTTCTTATGCCATAAATTCTAACAGTTTTCTACCATCAATCAAATGTCAGCTAAATATGACTGTGTTTTTTGCTATACAACATAAAAATGTATTATAGATTATACAATATATACACCGAAAATATATATTAGATGACAAGGAGCAGTTTATCATGATAAAATGTACCTCATTGGTTTGAATAAGGCCTGACCCCCATTCTCGTAATCGATAACCAATTTCAGTTGAGTTCCGCCGTCTTTTTGAGCTGAAAAAGCAATAAAAAAGTGCCAAAAATATGTTATTATTAATAAATTGCTTTAATTATAAATATATTTTGTTATTTTATTCCTGCTTTCAGTCACTAACACCCTATGCATTAGTCTCGGAAAACAATGGCATTTTATTTTTCTACATTTTTCTCTTTACTATTACAATAACCCGATATTAGCGATAATTATACTATATTTATAACAACGAAAATATATTTTTATTTTGCATAAGAAATAAATAATACTCACTTATATGTACGATATCCATGTTAGACAAGTCGTCCAAAAGGTGCCCGATGTTGCTGTCATTGTGGCTGTAGAGCTCGTTTTGCTGGACAGACAAGTGAAACACTTCCCATGCCGTCAGGTTTCCCCTAATTATATGCGACAACAGATTCACATTAAATTATGTTATAAACAATTGGGGTTTTATTTAAGATTAAAATGTATGTTATATTATAGTAAATGGTTTTGCAGTAATTATATTAAGACTTGCATTTTAATTGCATTGTAAATGACTTTTTTGCATAATAATAATATTGTTATTATAATAATAGTACGTTTCTCTCGGTTTGATAAATCATTTTAATGTTATTTAATGGCAAACAAATGTCTCAATCAATAACTACCTATCATTTTATGTGAAGTTTTAGTGAAAATAAATGAGAATTCATTATTAATGTCTTCAATAAAGTTAATACTTTTAAACACATTGTATTTTCATTTAATTAAATTTAGTGCCAATTGGAGTGTAATTAAGTTTAAGCACCGCTTTTGAGGAGTTTATTGTATTGTCCATTAAATTCATACTAATTATCGTTCAAATTGTTATAAATTTATAAAAAAAAGTTAAATTAAAATTCTGTAATCAATACTATATATTGTATACGATTTTTAAAATATTACACTTGATAAATTTAATCATAAAATGCATTAAATTTCATTATCATATTTTCAAGTCTATTAAAACTAATTTGTTTGATATCCTTAACGTTGAATATACTTACTGTGCATCTATTTCTTGAACCATTAAATGACTTTTTTGCAATCAAATGATACAATTAAACGCTATATATAGTGTACGGAAATTTAACGTAAAATGTCACATTCATTATAAAAATTAAATTTAAATTCAAACCACTTAACGCATGTAAATAGGGTTTTGTAAATAAAAGTATTGGCATATTATGTGAGAAAGAGATATAAAAAATAATTAATTCAAAACTCAATCTAAATATAACAACACATAGTGTTTAAGACATTTCAGAGGAATCCCATTGTTTACCATTGATTTGCCACTTAATAGCCACAGAATGCGGGCAATAATTATCAAAACATTTTATCATTTTATATTTGTTTTGCGTGTATTTAATGATAAAACATATTTTTGGGTTTTAATTAAAATAAGTTTTTTCTTCAACGACGGAGAAAATTGTGTGGGATTTCTGAATGCAATTTTGAGAGAGCATGAATTTGAGCCAATTTTTAAAAATATAACTTATTATNTGCCATTACATTAAATAACATCAGGTTTTGAAGCATTCATTTACTCTAAATATATATTACTGTTGAGAGAGAGAGAGAGAGAGAGAGAGAGAGAGAGAGAATGCGAACTTTTATTTATAGTGATAGAGAGCATGAATTTGAGCCAATTTTTAAAAATATAACTTATTATATACTTCTGGCATATCATCGATAAGACACCAAAAATACTTGTTTTCGTTAAAACACATTCACTATTAACTCTCTGTTATAACAATACAAAAATCTCGTAAATACTTTTCGCCCACTTTTTGTTTATTTAATATGTATTTTTCTCAATCAAAATACGAGATAAATATAACTATAAATAATATTTGAATCAAATTTCTATTAATACCTATTATACCTATTGTTATTATTCAAGTATTTCTTTATGTCATTTCTTATCGTTGTTATCGTTATTATTATTAATACTGACAATAATCGTGGGCTTTAATGGGAGGCATAGATGGGAGAGAGAAAGAGAGAGAGAGAACTGGTTTTAATTCAATTATTAAATGCTAGTCTAATGTTAACCTCTATTTTTAAGCATCAATTTCGCAGGAAAAACACAGAGTTATACAACAAATATCTAACTGATGTCTAAACACAATGAAAGTCTAATTTGTTTTACCGTATAATTAAAGACAATTAAAGTGACACAATATAAAAGTGTGAGAGCGTTACGGATGTGAATTAGATCTCATATGCATATTACATAATACATACACATTGAGAGTATTGTCATAACTGTATTGTCGGTGTCCTTAATAAGTGTACACAGAATATGCTCTGAGGAGACAATTATATAAATGTTTGAAAAATGCAACAAAAAACCAATTGCTATAAATATATACATAGATCTCTAATAGCTTTTTGGTGTTTAATTATATACACAGTTTGCTCATCAAATTAGTGGCAAATTATAAGCGCTAAACAAACGCACAATTGTTTTGTTAATAAATATATCGATTCTTGTATTGAAATTCTTTGCACCAAATGTTTAATATTTATATAAATATTAATTTAATTGATTTAGTGATAAGTTGTACTCACTCTGGGATAATACCCAACACTTCTGCGAGCAATGGATACTGTGGTCGCGAGGATTCTTCAGCAGATGTCGATTGCAAATCAATGAAATGCAATAAATCTGAGAAGTCGTCATCGATTTGTGACAATTCATTGATTTTTAACCGATTTTTCAAATTATTGTCGATATTATTGTATTTATTATTATTTGTCGATTTTTCGCTTTCAATTTCTGAGTATTTGTCTAATAAAATACAAAATATTAAAATTAATAACTTTTCTCTCATATGAAACGAATTTTTAAATACATATAAGTATTTATATCTAAATCTCATTTATCTAGCGTATAATTAATTGTTTTATCTCAATGTGTAATTGAAAGACAGACACACATTGTAAAAAAAAATTTTTACATTAATCCTGTGATTTGCAAATAATATGCACTTTTTATATACAGTATTGATATCACGACAACGCGACTTACTTTTGGCTGAGGTTTGCGTTGCTTTTAATGCGGTATTAATTTGTTGCTGCGATTGCTGTCCTTCAATGGCTTTCTGGTTGGGATCCAACTCTTTGTATAGGAATCGTCGTTGAATTTGTGCGAGTATTGGAAGCGCTGAGCGCTCAGACAGTTTGGATAAATCTATATTACCAAATGCACGGCTATCATGTGGTATTTGCAAAACAAAAGTACCAAGGTTAATTTTCAGGAGAGAGAGAGAGAGAGAAAGAGAGAGAGAGACTATACCTATAGGTATTATCATCGGTGAGTCGGGTAGTGATGACAAAGAAGACACAGAGGAGACAACACGTGGCGCATATCAATAGCACAAGAATCCTCTCTTTTAAACGCATTTTTCATTCACCGAAACACACAATAACTGTGACATCAATACCAACACAACTGATGGCCACAACAGAGAGTGAAAATCTGTCGCCTAAAACATATTTGTGGAATCGATTAGTGATTAATTGGTATCTGTTTTCCGGCACTAAAATTAACGCTGAGTTAACCATAAGATTATGATATGATTTTGTGATATGAAATGCATTAAAATATACAGTGAATTAAAAAACTTTGATCATGTAATTTAATATTAAAAGCAATTCTTGCACTTTTAATTCGCGTATACATTAAGTTGTGATCCAATACTTGATTTAATATAATTGATGAAAACTTTTGCTTTTAAAGTGGAATATATTTATCGCAGAAAAAAGAGAAATAAAACAAATATTTCTTTTAAATACACATATTTATAGATATAAAAAGCAAAACATAATGCTATTTATAATAACATTCTCCTCCCGTTTGATGTATATTTATAACAATATAAGTAATAATAAAAATCACAGAAATTATTGTTGAGATGTAAAGACAATACAATACACGGACTGGAAGTGAATAAACAAGTGTTAGATCGGAGTCAAAGTCATCGTTGTATAAAAACTGATGTCCCAAATATGAATACACTGTTATGTTGTCTGTAATGTTAATGAACTATATTTGGTGTCCGAGAGATGTGTTCAACAAATAAGAGAAGAGGAAAATAAAATTGCAGACAAAAAATATACACAAAAATTGATTTAAGGATTACTTCAACTGTTTTTCTCTCTCTTTCTCCTCCTTTGCTATATTTTTATGAAGTAATACAACACTTGTAATGCGAGAGAGCGAGAGATTGAATGAATGAACGTTGGAGTTAACTCTCAACACAAAAAGTAAAGCAAACCATTATATGTTTTGATAAGATTCAGGTGAGAGAGAGAGAGANTTATGAAGTAATACAACACTTGTAATGCGAGAGAGCGAGAGATTGAATGAATGAACGTTGGAGTTAACTCTCAACACAAAAAGTAAAGCAAACCATTATATGTTTTGATAAGATTCAGGTGAGAGAGAGAGAGAACAGCAATTTTTGGTTCGCTCTCTTTTATCATCTCTGAGATCGTGGGCTCACTCTTCAGACTTCAATCAAGAGTAAACACAAAAACTCATAAATAGTACTGAGATCTCGGCGTTGATGCCGACGACCAAACTTTGCGCTCACACTTTGGCCTACAATTCTCCCTCTCTTTTGCTCTGCTATTCTCTCAGCAATTC